CACCCCCCGGGGCGCCTAGAGCCTCTTTTTTTTTTTTTTTATGGATGGGCGCTTTTTATTTCACTTCTTTTGGACTGAAGCACCACAACACCCGCTGACATATTGGCTGTTTATTAGTACTTAAAAAGCACATATTAATGCCTTGTTCTGCATGACGATATTTTATATCCTCTAAACTTAACAACTACCTTACTAACTATTAATAAGCAGCAAATTAGGAGTTTGAGGCAAAAGTTGCAGTTAATACGTAGTTAAAAGTGAGATTTGGAAGAACAATTCATTGGAGAGCAGAAGCCTGGCTAATTTGTGCTGTCACTATATTTCACTTATTTGACAATATCAGCTTTCCAGGTTTTCTGAGGATGCTTATTAAATGTAAGGAAATAGTTCAGTCCTAACTTAAAATTGTTACACCACAAAAGATAATTTTGGAAGAACTAATAAAAAATTTAAAGAAAAAAAAATTATACAAAAAACTACATACAGCATATAAATACATACTAGCTACTATGTAAGTGCAAGTGTCCCCACAGCATGAATGATTTGTGTTTTGTCAATCCTGGTAGGGTAAAGATGAAATGCTTGGCAGAAGTACTTGTGTACCTATTGTGAAGTTGACTTCAGGCATGGATGCATCTCCTAAACTCCTCTGGGAGCCTGTAACACACAAAAATGGTCCTGCTGGGGAGATTCTGGTGGCTGCAGAGCTCATTCTGAAGACCAGGGTGTGGTTCTTAATGGAATTTAGGTCTATTTAACCACATTTATGGCTGCTTTGAGATTCATTCAAATTATTCTTGATTAATCTTATGTTGCCTACTCTAGGGAAATGACACTGAACTTCCCCTTATTCCCCCCAAACGAGGAGAGAAACTCTATATGGTTCCTCAAGGGGTGCGACCTGTGGTGCAACTCACTGCCATAGAGGTCAGTTTCAACTATGTTTTCTCATTGTTTGGACTTATTTTGGTAACACTTTACAATAAGGTTCCATTAATGTTAGTTAATGTATTAACTAACATGAACAAACAATGAACAATACATTTATTACAGTATTTATTAATCTTTGTTAATGTTAGTTATTGAAAATACAGTTGTTCATTGTTAGTTCATGTTAATTCACAGTGCATTAACTAATGTGAACAAGCACAACTTTTGATTTTAATAATGCATTAATAAATGTTGAAATGAACATGAACTAAGATTAATAAATGCTGTAGAAGTATTGTTCATGCTTAGTTCATGTTAACTAAAGTAGTTAACTAATGTTAACTAATGAACCTTATTGTAAAGTGTTACCCTTATTTTAAAGGGGTCAAATCATGCAGAATCAAAATGTAATAATTTAATTAATCTTTTGAGACTATGTACTATTATTGAATTGTTATTGAAATGAGACACACAAAACACTGTAGAAATTTACAATAGGGAGTCATAAATATAGTGTAGTAAAGAAAAGTTGTGCAGAAAAGCTCTATATTCAAATATTCAAGTGTTTTTGAAATTTCTGTTGTTTTGTTGGATGCAGGTTCTAGCATGGGGATTGCGTAACGTGAAGACGTATCAGCTGGCTCCTGTGACGTCACCCAGTCTGGTGGTGGAGTGCGGAGGAGAGAGCGTTCAGACAGCTGTTATCAAAAACATGAAGAAGTGCCCTAATTTTGCAGGAAATGTACTCTTATTAAAAGTGGTGAGCATCCATATCTACCTGTAGAAAAAAGGTGCAAACATGCTTTAAAATAAATGCTGCTTCATTTCTATTTTGCTGTCAAATGCAATGACATTCATATTTAAATATGGTCCAAACTGTTTTTTTGATGTCATAGACTATGTCTTCAGCATCTTGGTTTCTGTCTTTAGCTTCTACCCAAAGAAGAGATGTATACTCCCCCTATAGTGCTGAAAGTCATCGACCACAGACCCTTTGGACGGAAACCTGTGGTGGGTCAATGCACCATCAATTTCCTGGAAGAGTTTCGATGTGACCCTTATGCCACAGTTGCAGAAGTGGCCATGTCTTCAAAAGGTACATTCCCTTTTACAAAGTTGTTTACAAATTTTTTTTTTCTTAATTGCAAACCAATGTCTGTGTGTATAAGGCAACATTGTATTGCTATTCCCTAAACATTCTGGTTAAACTCAATAGTTAAACATTTAACTATTAAACTTTGGCAATTAATTCAGTCCAAACTCTATTCAGACTTTGTTTTGAAGATAACTTCAGCCTTAGGTGTGCTATATATTTTGTATGTTGTAAACTTCATATTTTTTTTGTAATTGCATGCTAGATTGTGGCTGATCTTTTTTTTATTTATTTTATTTGCATACTCATTTGTTATTAATTTTACTAACATCTTGTACCACCAGCACAAACCATCTTTTGGTGTTAAAATAGTACTGTCAGGATTTACTAAAGATGCGCAGTGAAGAATCAGCGCTGAAAAGGCGTGGACACGGTTATTTTTGCACCTCACCTTATTGAATATGCATTTGTAGGAGTTTCCCTTTGATGCAAAGTTTATGGGAGGAGAGTATTCAAATTAATCATGCAACGCGATTTACTAATATTTGCACTCGTCAAATTACTGGTATTTGCTCTGTTGATTCTTGTGTACAGCTAATGCAAAATACAAATTTGAAAGAATATTTATTATTAGCATTCTCCCTTTGCCTGCAGTGGCTTTGATGGCAGCTTCTCCTAGAGACCTCCATGTAAACATAGATGACGGCAGACAGCATCTTCTAGAAGCCCAGGTACTGCTACCAAGTCGCTTGATTTTGAAGATTTAGGAACTTAAGTCTCAACTTGTGAGAGAACTCTATGTAATGGACGCTGGCACACACATCTGTATGAATTTGCTGCTATTTTCAACTTTGTGAATTTCAGTATTTGTATGGCATCTCAGCTGCTGTTGACAAAATAGCCACTGCTAGTCACATTCAAGTATGTATAGAAATAAGGCACTTTAATCAAAATGCCTACATTTTGTAATTAAATGTAATTATAAGTTAAAGGTATAAAGGGTGTAGTTTCTGAATTAGCTCTAGTGGTGCCATACGAATGCCAGTATGTTTATTTCCAACCCTGTCAAGCTGATCAAAAATCGTTATTCTGTTTGGTGGCACTTTAATTACACACTTCACCACTAACACTAAAGTTTGTTCTGTAGCCCACATTGTGGCTGATTAAGTAAATCTTCACCTTCTGTAGTCACAGATGGGTTAAATTGGGGGAGTATCCAATCAATCTGTTCTCAAAATTAGAAGTCTCATTTCACATTAGGGTGATTTGTACAGCTGACTTGCTCTGAGGAATCATACTAACTTTCTTTTAATTAATTTAAAGTTACCTCCCTTGTGTATACATTTAATCATGGAGAAAAGAATCATTTAAACTTGAACAATGTATACATTTTTATCAGTTTTAAGGCTTTTTAAAAATGTGTATTAAATGTACATTCAGAAATTGAAATGCTAATATAAATTTCAGGTTCCTTTTTACATAGATTTAGATCAATCATTTAAAGCCTTTTAATGATGATTGGGGTCTGTTATACTGATAAAATAAAGCTGAAAATGTTCAAATATGAGATTTTTCTAAAGAATAATGTAATAATAATTACATTAATAATAATCTTAATGAATAATGTTTTGTGCGTGTTTGTGTGTGTGTGTTCAATGTGTGCCCTTTCTGGCTTTTAACAGCGTGAGAAGGTGAGTTCTGTGGTAATATTCTACACACTTTCCACTTAAGCTTTGGTTTTAAATCATTTATCATCATATCTGTATTTTAGCTCTATCATGAGGATGAAACTATCTATTTTGTCACTACTTTACAGGAGAAAGAGACTGTTGATTGGTGGAGTAAGTTTTATGCTTCTGTTGGGGAGAGTGAGAGATGCCGCCCATACCTTGACAAAGGTTATGACACATTGGAGGTGTGAATTCTGTCTAAACTGTATGATAACATTGAAATATATATTGTAATGTTACTACATAAAGTATTGCTCACCTAAAGTAAAAGTCGTTCCAAACCCACATGACTTTTTCTTATGTGGAACATGATAGGAGGGATTTTAATGAATGTGCTGGTCACTCTTTCATTCATATGTATGTATATATGTATATGTATATGTGTATATATATGTATATGTATGTGTGTATATATACACATGCATACACACACGCGCACACACACACGGAGAACTTCTGTCATGGTGCTTTTTTTGCTTCTCTTTTTTTTTTTTTTTTAAGCTTGAAAGCTTCAGTCCTGTATTGTTGTTGCATGGAAAAAACTAGCAGTACAATATTCAGTTGTTTGGAACAATGTGTACTTGAGTAAATTATGACATTTTATTGTTGGGTGAATGTTCACTTATTGCACTTATTGACTTCACTTATTCACTTATTTTACATATTGTTGAATTTGAATCCACAAAGATTTGTTGTATGGTTTAGCATTTGTAGTGAGGTTCTCTTCTGTTGGTTTTCATAGGTATATGACCATGAGCTTGAAAGTGCAAAAGAGTTCATGGGTCTTACTGATTTCTGCAGCACCTTCAAATTGCAACGTGGTAAAAATGAAAGTGACGATGATGATCCCGCTGTAGTTGGAGAATTCAAGGCAAGATGTCTTATTCGCTTTTTAAGAATAAATTTAATGCTGATTAAGTCACACTTTAAGTTTTTTCTGTTTGTGGTTATGTAAAATAAATGATTTTGTTTAATCGATTGTTTTCAGGGCTCCTTTAAGGTGTACCCATTGCCAGATGACCCAGGGGTGCCCCCTCCGCCACAACAGTTCAGAGAGCTGCCCGACAGTGTCTCTCAGGAGTGTGTGGTCAGAATCTATGTGGTTCAAGCCATCGACCTGCAACCCAAAGACAACAACGGCAAAGTACTTACTTTCATTCAGCATTTCAGAAAACCTCATGACTCATTTTGAGTTTGTTTTTCAGTGTGTTTTAGTCAAATGAAAAAGCAAAGCTCCTTTTCTTTTTTCAGTGTGACCCATATATCAAAATCTCTTTGGGGAAAAAGTCTATTGATGACAGGGACAACTATGTACCATACACACTTAACCCAGTGTTTGGAAGGTAATGCCATAGATTTATTGAGAGTTTATCTTGTATTCAGACAGTCGAAGAAGACTAAGTCTTTTTGTCTCTCAACAGAATGTTTGAACTGACATGTTTCCTCCCACAAGACAAAGATCTGAAAATTGCCATCTATGACTTTGATTTGCTCAGCCATGATGAGAAAGTTGGGGAGACGGTGATTGACTTGGAGAACCGTCTTCTTTCTCGCTTTGGTTCCTACTGTGGTTTAGCCCAGACATACTGCATGTGAGACCCACACACTTTAATGCAAACTTATTTTCTTTGAGGACAACAGCACAGACATTAGTTGATTAATGGTTCTATTCATTAAATAGTTCTGGACCAAACCATTGGCGTGATCAACTCAATCCATCTAAGATTCTTGAACAGCTTGCCCGATGGAAAGGATTGAGTCCACCCAGGAGCGAAGACAATGGAAACACGTTAACCTTTGGTGGCCGATTGTACTGCCTCTCTGACTTGGGTAATTTTCAGAGCTTTTTGTTCTTTTGCACATCATTATGGTGGCTTGACAAACTTTATTGTGGTATATACTGCAAACTGGGTAAAGACCTTCAACCTGTTCTGATTCATGAATCTTCATATGTCTTGTCGAATTGATTGGATGTACAGTTGTCCTATAGCAACTGTATATGCCCTATAAA